ATGCGGGCAATCGACGAGCTGCAGGACCAGCCAAGCACGCGATCTCACGTGAGGAGTATTGCAGACGCAGAGATGAGAATCTCTGCTTGCAGTGCGGACAAGCGGGTCATCTACAGCGTAATTGTCCACAGCGCACTGCTGCGGCCGCCGCTCAACTTGCAGCCGTCAAGTTCGAGGTAGAAGAGGAAGACGCAGCGGAGTCTTTCGACGTTGTCGATGCCAATCTGGCCGACAACGAGTTCGAGGAAGCTCCCGAGGAGTTTCCTGAACAGGAAAAATAGAGGCCGAGCAGGAGGCGTCCGCTCCTGACTCGGCTTATTTGTGGGACTTGACGGAGGAGATCACCGCTGGGGCACTGGAGGCCCTCGGCGACCCTCAGGGCTACCGCAATTTGCTCGGTAGAGTGATCATCCCGCGACACCCCACCAAACCGGCGTTCGAATGTACCGTGCAAATCGACGGTCGCCATGACGCCCGCACCCTCCTTGACGCAGGGTGCACTTCTTCGATTGTGTCGCCAGAGCTGGTCTCCCGACACAATTTACGTGTTGAAAATATCCCACTGCTTTCTGTTATGGTGATGGATAAACAACGAACAACCTGCTCAAAGCGGGTCGTCCTTGATATTTCGATAGGAGGTACCACATTAATGGAACGCTGGCCGTTCTACGTGTTCCCAGCCATGCACAAACTGGTGTTGGGCATGGACTGGCAGGAGCGAACGCATCCCTATTACGACTGGAAGAACAAACGCCTTGTGTTCGAACAGTTGGACCGTCCGTTGGCACCCGAGTCGACCATGCTTGTGTCCCCGGATGCCGACCTGCGCGCAGTCATTACGGGGTCGCCACCCCAACCGGACCACGAAGAGTGGTTGATGCTGGCCGAGTTGATTGCCAAAGATCTTGACGAGCTGGACGAGGTCCGCAAAACCATCCCCGAGAAGTATCATGAGTTTGCGGACGTGTTCAGCACGGTGCAAGCCAGTGAACTCCCGCCTCATCAATTGTTTGACCATCGCATCGAGCTACTGCCGGGCTCTCAGCCACCCGTACGACGACTGTACCATTCGTCCCGGGATGAACTGGAATTGCTTTGGGCCTACATCGACAACATGTTGGCCAAAGGTTTTATCCGGCCGTCCCGTAGCGAGGCGGCGTCCCCAGTGCTGTTTGTCGACAAGAAGGACGGGACCAAACGCCTCTGCATAGACTACCGCGGGTTGAACTCGGTCACCATGAAGGATCGCAACCCGATCCCGCTCATTGATGAACAGCTGGACCGCCTGGCAGGCGCCATCCTCTTCACCAAATTGGACCTGCTTGGCGCGTACAATCTGGTTCGCATCCGCGAGGGAGACGAGTGGAAGACCGCCTTCAATTGCTGATACGGGTTGTTCGAGTACTTAGTGATGCCCTTTGGGCTCTGCAACGCGCCAAGCACGTTCCAAGCCATGATGAACCACATCTTTGCCAACATGCTCGATGTGTGGGTCATTGTCTACCTTGATGACATTCTGATCTTCACCGGGGAGGGTGTGGACCACGCCGCAGTTGTGCGCCGAGTATTAGAAAAGCTCCGAGAGTACCGACTTTTCTGTAAAGCGTCAAAATGCAAGTTTGACGTTACGGAAGTGGAGTATTTGGGTTACCTCGTGTCGACGCAGGGAGTGCGCATGGATCCCGGCAAGGTGGACGTCGTCATGAAGTGGCTGGCGCCCACGACGGTGCACGAGATCCAGGTCTTTTTAGGTTTTGCGAACTACTACCGGCGCTTCATCACCGGTTACTCCAAGATCGTAGCTCCAATCACCGAGTTGCTGAAGGGCAAAGCCGTTGGAAAGGTTGCGTGGTCGGCAGACCAACAGTCGGCGTTTGACGAGTTAAAGTGGCGGTTCCGACAGGGCCCGATCCTCCAGCACTTTGAACCAAAGCATCCGATCCTGTTGGAAACAGACGCTAGCGACCAAGCTATCGCTGCTGCTATGAGCCAACCAACCGCCCCAAATTGGGCGGTGATCGGCAACTTGCCCAGTACGCTGCTCGACATGCCGGAGGGGAAGCCACGTTGGCACCCAGTCGCTTTCTGCTCAAGAAAGCTGGACTCGGCGGAGCGCAACTATAATATCCACAACAAAGAGCTCCTGGCTATCGTAGATGCGTTCCGCCAGTGGCAACAGTATTGCAAGGGAGCGAAGCATAAGGTCACAGTGCTCACCGACCATTGCGGGTTAGAATACTTTGCCACTAAGAGGTATCTGAACCAATGTCAAGTGCGCTGGCAAACGGAGTTGGCCGACATCGACTTTGTCATCAAGTATCGCTCCGGTTTGCAGTGCAAAGTGGACGGACTCACCCGTCGCCCAGATATGCATGCCGGTGCCAACGCTCACAACCCCGACAACGAACAAACCCTGTTGGGTCCTGAACGGTGGGCCGACAAGGATGAAGTTACTTTGCGAGCGCTCGTGGCCGATCACGGCGGATACAATAGACTGCGTGACGCGGTGTGAGAGCATCTGGCACAAAACCCGCTCACCCGGAAGCAGCAGGGATCCATGAGCAGAGGAGATGGACTCTGGTGGAAAGGCCCGTGCCTGTACATCCCGGCGGTCCCGACGCTGCGGGAGGAAGCCCTCCGATTGTGCCACAACGTCCCCACTGCAGGACACTGCGGCCCCAAGCCAACCGCCGAAGCCGCGCAAAAGATCTTCTTCTGGCCCGGGATGGTGAGCTACGTCCGTCAATACGTGAGCACCTGCGTAGTGTGCCAGCGCTCCAAGCCGCCGCGACACGCACCGTACGGACTACTCAACCGACCATGGGGGAGCGTTACCCTCGATTTCATCGAAGGGTTGCCAGAGTCTGGAGATGAGAGGTACAACTCGATCCTGGTGGTTGTAGATTGGCTCACAAAGTATACGGTGTTTGCCCCGTGTGCTAAAACCACCACGGCCGAGCAGACCGCGCAGCTCTACCTTGACAAGGTGTTCCCCTTCTTTGGCGCCCCCAACTCCATCCTGTCCGACAGAGGAAGTCAATTTGTGTCCTGTTTCTGGAGGTCGTTTGCCGTGTTACTGGACGGCCAAGCAACGTTGAGCGCCGCGTACCACCTGCAGACAGACAGACAGACCGAGCGGGTGAACCAGGTGCTGGAGCAATACCTGCGCATCTACACTGGCAAGCATCAGTCGGAGTGGACGTTACACTTGCCATTAGCGCAGTTTGCGTACAACAACACTCTGCACTCCACGATCGGAGTGTCTCCCCTGTTCGCGACGCTAGGCTTCCACCCCAAATTGTTCCCGTCTTCCACGGTGGCAGGAGTGCACGATCCCCGAGCCGCCGCCTTTGTTCAAGACAGGGCAAAATTGGTTGAGGCCTGCAAGCAAGGGATCGAGCGCGCGGCGGCGTCAGCGGCCAAATACTACAATTCTGGGAGAAAGCCACTGAGCCTCACGGTGGGAGACCAGGTACTGCTGCGCACGAGGAACCTCACCGTGGATGCGCCTTCCAAGAAGCTAACGGACCTGCTGGTGGGCCCCTTTGTCATTAGCAAACGAGTGGGACAACGGGCGTATCAGTTGGAGCTGCCGCAAACGTGGCGGTGCCACCCGGTGTTTCATGTCAGCCTGCTCAAACCGTTCCGCGCCAACCGAGCCCTGCGTGCATATCCTCAGACCATTCCTGACAACTCCGACCTGGCGGCGAGGGACTGACAAGAAGAATATGAGGTCGAGAAGATTGTTAGCAGCCGACGCACATCCCAAGGAATGCAATACTTGGTCAGGTGGGTCGGTTATTCTTAGGGTTAGGGTTAGGGTTAGGGTTAGGGTTAGGGTTAGGGTTAGGGTTAGGGTTAGGGTTAGG